ATCCGTGGCTGATATGTAGAACTGAATTGTATTGCAAAATAATAATAATAATAAAAAAAATACAAATTTCTTCTTTTTTATGTTTAGGGTGTATAAATAAACTGCAAGTAATTAAAAAAAAAAAAAAGAATGATAACCAAGCTGGGCTTAAGGATGATCATAAGTGTCTTCATGAGAATGAGAGAGGAATAGGATAGTATAAACAGAGATGATGGGGGAATGTCTTTCTGTAGGCTGCGAATATGTGTTGCTCTGACTGGTTGATAAATAAAACCATTTGGCCTATGGCAAGACAGCTTGGAGGCAGGTGGGAAATTCAAAGGGAGAAACAGGAAGAAGGCGGGGGGGGGGGGGGGGGGGGGGTGGAGGAGACGCCCATGTAATGGACGCAGGTAAAGCCACGGAACATGTGGCGATACATAGATTAATAGTTATGGGCTAATTTAAGATATAAGAGCTAGCTAGCAAAAAGCTTGAGCCATGGCCATGCAGTTATAATTAATATAAGCCTCTGTGTGTTTACTTGGGGGACATGAGTGGGGGAGATCTGTCCCCACTGCCGGCAGGCAGGGATACAGGAAAACTTCAGCTACACAGAGATTGAAGTAATATGCTTTGAAGACAGAGGAAGGGGCCACAAGCCAACATAGTAGGTGATCACTAGATGCTGAAAACAAAAAGGCAAAATGGATTGCTACTTGAGGTTCCAGAAGCAACTAGCCCTGATAGTAACTTGACTTGAACCCTCTGAAATAAAATTTGAGCATCTTACCTCTGTCCTCAGAACAACAAGAACGTACTTTTTAAAATATTGGTTTAAGTCACTGAAATGGTAGAGCAACCACAGGAAATAAATCCAATCAGGGCTCTTATACCATGCAGAGGCAAGAGTACACACGTCACTTGTGTGTCCCAACATACAGACCTGAGCATCAGCAGTGATACAGAGACTGTCTTTGATTTACTTGAGAGATTAAGGAAGTCATTGGGCAAAAGGTTATGGAGTTGGGGGTCAAGCCTGGGGTCAAGGTTCAGCTCTACCACTAACAAGCTGTATGTCCAAGAAAGTCTGCTTTTCCTCTTTGAGGCTCCAGGATTCCTTGCACAAAGTGAGGATAATAGACCTTGTTGGAAAAAAATCAAAGGAGAGAGTGAATGGCCATTTGTCCCTCTGAGTATTTGGGAATGTATGTGTTCCCTAGTACCTGCTACAGAAAGCATCTCAAAAGAGTCACTGAGAGCAATTGCCTTCACCTTCTTATCTCCTTTCTATCCCTACAGCAATTCTCAGAACCCAGTGAGCTGATGTGAACTGTCCTCCTAGGGATAAGCATGTAGGAGGTAGACCTAGCAAAAGGAAATTTCTAGTTTGGTCATCATCATGTGGAAACATCCACAGTCAATGCTGAAGAGAGGAGCATACAGGAATGGGAAATTCTAGTGTCTTTCATAGTATGTCTTTTCTTTCTCACAGTTCCTATTTGTGCTTATGTGTGTATATTACACACATGTGCATGTAGGTGCACACTCCTGTGAGTGCATGTGTAGAGGCCAGAAGAGGACATCAGGTATCTTCTTCTATTGTGTATCTTCCTCAATAGATTTCCACCTTATTCTCTTGAGACAAGGTCTCTCAGTGAACCTGAGGCTCATTGTTTTTTTTTTTTTTTTTTTGCTAGGCTAGCAGCCAGCAAGTCCCAGCAATCCTCCTACCTCTGTTCCCCACCCCCAGCACTAGGATTACAGGTATGTACAATCATGTCCAGCTTTTTATGTGGGTGTTGGAGATCTGAATTCAGGTCCTGATGCTTGTAGAGCAATTACTTTATTCACTGAATCTCCCCAGGCCCTACTTGTGCTTTTTGAACTCTTCAGGTTAGAACATTTCCGATTGAAGCCTGCTATCCTGTAGGCTTAGGAACTCTTAGCTAAATTAGGCTGCCTAAATATGAATGTGAAAGGTGGGGTTTACAGGGCCTTGAGAGATCCAAAGCAAGTGGTCCCTCCTAGTTCTGAGAAGGATCTTTGGGGCTCCCCCAGGTGGCTAATATGGGAACGGCTGGCTTCCTTTTCCAAAAGTCCAAAAGTCTTGGCACACACCTTCCCTGGAATAAGTAAGGGACAGAAAGTCCTTGGGCTCTGAGGAGCAAGGAAGTCTATAGAGGATGGTGGGCAGTTGGGTCAATGGCTATTATACGATTGAGGACATAATTAGATGGACATGTGCTGTGGGATGTCCTGTATGTTGTGATTATGTTGCTATGATTGATTGATAAATATAACAATGATTGGCCAGTAGCCAGGCAGGAAGTATAGGATAGGGGGGACAAACAGACAAGAGAGCCTGGGAGGTGGAAGCTGGGGGAGACGCCAGCCTGCCGTCCAGGGAGCATCATGTAAAGGCACGGAACACGTAGCGACATATAGATGAACAGAGATGGGCTGAGTTAAGTGTGAGAGCTAGTCAGTGGTAGGCCTGAGCTAATGGCCCAGCAGTTTAATTAATATAAGTTTCTGAGTGATTATTTTATAAGTGGTTGCAGGGTCCATGGTGCTGGGCAGGACTGGAGAAAACTCCAGCTACAGACATGTAGGAAAATTATATTGGAGACGGAGTTTGAAAGAGAATTAACTGCTGCTCTTCCCCTTCCCACAATGCACCTTATGTTGGGCATAGGAGAATGCTGCTGAGGAAATGCATGGAGGGTGGCACAAGCTGCATTCCTGGGGATGGAAGAGGATAGTTGGGAGGGAGAGAGGGTATGATGAGATGATCGGTACACACTGTCTCACAGTAAACCTGGAACCTCTGAAGGGCAGGTCATTGCTGTCCTTTGCATGGGTTCCATGACTTCCATTTTGGAGTCATGGACCCCACAGTGGAATAGACAGTTCAGAGACTTGCAGACAGGGGTGCCTACTGCCCCCTGGTTTCTCTCTCTTGGATCTCTCTCCAAAGCAGGTTTCTCCACAGCTGCTGAGCTCCAATTCCCTGGCTTCTAATTTTTATTAGGTCATAGTCTTGTCTGACACTGGTGAAAGACACATATAGAGAGGCTAACTTATGGTACTCAGGAGTTGCAGACCCCACACATGTATGCTGGGACTGTGGCTCTGCTCTGCTTTACCCTAGCCTGACTGGCCATTACCTTTTGTGGCTGCTGTTGTTCCTCTAGGACAACAAGCCAGGAAAGATGATCACCTGTGTTTACTGAACACCCACTCTGTGCTGGAAAGGAACACTGGCTGGCTCTGCCCCTCAAAGAACTTCTGGCCTGGTCAAAGTGGGAGAAAGCAAAGGCAGAGAACACATGAAATGAGGTGAAGGTCAAGAGCCACAAGATGGGGAACCAGTGAGGAGACAGATAAAGCTAGGATTCTGGGAAGGAAAAGACTGGTCACTCTAGACCTGGAGATAGAGACACACAAATATACTGTTAGCAAGCAGGACAACCTGAGTAAGTGCGTGGATAACAGGGTATGAGTCAGAGTCATGGTACAATTGTGCTGGAATACAGTACATGTTAGCCTAGTGGGAGAAGTAGAAAGGTAGGCTGGGAGAACATTGAGACCTGCTAAAGTGTTGTTGGTAGTGAAGTGGAATCTAGAATTTTTTTTAGGTCTGACACACCAGGTATAGAGATTGGACTGCAAGAGGGACAGATCAGCTTGCTGTCACAGCACACCTGACTCAGGTGCAGATGGGCCAGGAAGAACTAGGTCAACAGACATAGAGAAGGGAAGAAGGGCTGAAATGGGAGATCACCCCAAAAGACACACAGGGAGCTAACTGCCTTCCTCTGGTTCTGTTTCTCCAGAAAGTACCAACCACATGGTAGAGGCAGGAGCTAAGCTCCATGCTCTAGGCAGCCACTATAGGCCGTCAGTCATCAGGAATGAACAGGTAGGGTAACCCCTAGGACTTGGGCCTGTGATGAAAGCAAGTGTCTTGTAGTGGTTGAGGTGAGGCTCTAGCTGTACTCAGTGATCTGGGGGAGGCTACTTTAGTGGTTGAAATCATCTGCAGGGCTTGTGGACACAGTGCCAGGGCCACCCTCAGTCTCAGTTCAGCATGTTTGGGGTGTGGCCTGAGGCTGAAATTTCCTGGCAGTTGCACTTCCTCCAAATGGGCACAAGGAGTGAATGGGTCTGAGTGGGGAATGCAGGGAAAGACTGGTCAGCTGGGAACTTAGGACCTGTCTGGAGGACTTCCCCAGTCTCTTCCTAATTAACTCACTTCATCATTCAAGTCTGAGGGGATACTGCTTCCACCGTAGCTCTAGTTTCTAAATGCACCAAGTTCACTTATAGGCCCATATCCTGCCCATGATACTCTGTACTTTTCCCTTAAAAAAGATTTATTTTTCTTTTCATATGTATCAATGTTTTGTCTGCATGCATGTATATATGTGCATAACATGCATACTTGGTGTCTATGGAAGTCAGAGCAGGCATCAGACCCCAGGAACTAGAGTTATAGATAGTTTGTGAGCCTCCCAATGGGTACTGGAAACTGAATTGGGTCCTATGCAAGAGCGACACATGCTATTTATCACTGGGCCATATTCTTAGCCCCAATTTTCTCTTGGAATTTGGAACAGTTTTGTGTTATATATTAGTTGTGTGGTCCTGCTACAATGTCCATGCCAGACAGGCAGGATCTATGCCCACTGTACTCACTGCAGAAGCTCAGAGCAGCACCTAGTGAAAATGTGTGGACTACACAAGTAAACAAAAGCCACAGTTTGATTCTTGAATATCTCTTACAGGACTATTTGTGTTGAAGGTTTGGACTCCATCTCCTGGTGCAACTGGAAGTGGTGGATCCTTTAACAGGTGTGGCCTAGTGGGAAGAAGTTAGGTCTTTGAGGTATGTCTTTGAATGGGATAGTGCCGTGGACTGGGTCTCAGTAGGAACACCAGACCGAGGGAGAACAGGTCGAAGGTACTCAGGATAAGTGGGATTCGGCGAATGACAGACAGACACAGACACGAGAGTATGCTGTGAAACTGCTGCAATTTTACTCAGATCAAGCAGTGTTTTTTATACATTCATTTGAGGAAACATGGCAATCGGCCAGTGGGGCGATAGACATAGAATTAACAATGTGGTCACACAATTTTCTCAGAATGATTAATAGATCTCATGAGTACAGGTGTTATTTCCTCTTTTGTGGTCCCTCATCCAGATAGAGAACATTACGGCCCTAGCTGAAGTTTTCCTTCTACGTAATTATTAGACCTTTGTTTTGTATCAAAAACCCTTCCTACCATCATTCTAACCATGGTTTCATTTGTGTGAAAATATTTAACCTTTGCCTGCAGGTGAGAAGGCACCAGGGGGGTTGGGACCTAGCTATTCTTTCCATGAACTGTAACTTATGCCATTCTGTTTTCATACTATTATGATTCACCCATTGGTTCCCATGTTTATCATAAGCTCCCATAAAGGGCAATGGCTCCAAATAATTATTATATCTAGGATTAAAGTTAGGGGGTTGCCACCACCGGCCCTTGATGAGAAACTCTATTTGTCCCTTGATAATTCTTGTAGGACTGGTTAGTTCCTGCAACTGCTTCCTTGCAGCTGCTGTTGGCTGCACGTGTGGATTGCTTATGAGTTCCTGGACTTTTACTTTCATCTCTCCTCGCTAGAATCTTTGTCCCTCTGAGTCATAAGTTCTTTTTGCTCTAAATCATTCATAAATTCCCCCAAACTTCTAGGACTCTCTTTAACTGTTTGCCTAAAAGCTTGAAATATAGGTGGGGGTATTGAGGCCACTTTTGAGGAATCAATATTCTCTTTATGGAGCACATCAGAAACATTGAGAGCTAACTCCCTGAAATCAATACACAAGGAAACAGCAATAGTCACAGCTGCAAAGAGAAAAAAGCAGAGTGCCAGCCAGCGTCTGCAAGCAGATTTTGCGTGGTTCCGTGTAGCCTGGCACCATGATTCGGGAAGATTGATAAGGGGTCGCCGGGGGCATAGACCCGAGGGCCACGAGCCCCCCTTTCCCACGTAACCGCCTCATCCAAGGCATTTGTCACGGGGGTGACACCGTCGTGGGCGTGGCAGGATAGGGCACCACAGTCCCAAAAGCAACAGAGCCAACCAACCATAGAATAAGTTCTCTAAAACATTTCCTGTTTTCAAGTTGTTTATAACAGGTATTTTGTCACAGTGACAGAAGGCTTACAAAATAGAAGGAAGAATGCATTGGGCAATTGAGCTTGACAAGGGACATCTCTGGCCCAATAGTTGTTAACATTTTCAAGGGACTTTTAAGGCATGTGGTTCTCAGTGTTTGCTAGCTAGGTCTATTGCCTTCTCATCCAGCAGTTCTGAGCAACTCCTAAACTTTGTTCCCATCTAAGGTACATCTTTCCTCTCTGTGCTGAATTCTGATTCCTTTCTAAGTACGTCCACTAAGTGTTCAGTTTTAACTCATGGAGAGCAGTCAGGATTTTCTTGATCTTTGCCCTCCACTGAGTAAATCCTTAATTGTTATGAACCACCATAGGCTGTCCAGACCTACAGAATAAAGGTTATTCCCTGCCTCCTGCTTCAGCCTGACCAATGTCCTACTGTTTCCCAAACTAGCCTTCCCACTTGTGTCCTCTACTAAACTGAAGTTATACCAGTAAGTGCAAGATACACTATTATTTCATATATGGTCAAGAAACACAACATGCTGCTGAAAGCTGTTGACTATGAGATTGATCTCTTTAGTCTGAAATACCAATTGATGGGTCTGCATCAGTGACCATTTCTACATCCTTCAAGTCCAACCTCAGTGCATCACCTGTTCTGCAGAAACCATGTAACTTTACTTTGTCTTACATAAGTGTATAAATGCATACATTTTTATCATACTTCAGGGGTTTATGAATATAATTTCATTACTGTAAGCCTCATGGGCAAAGATGGCATCTTATTTACATTTATATCTGAATGCCTTGGCAGCTCAGCATGGTCTCTCCCCAGGCAGAGCTAATAAGCCAGCAACACAAACGGTATGGCTTTTATACCTTTATTGTATTTTCCCCCAGTTGCCTTCCTACCCTTAAATAGTGATGAAGAAGTTAGAATTCTTCAGGAATACATTTTAATGAGTTCAGAGAACAGAAAATGCTGGATTGTTAGATGGGCTGTACTCTTTTTGGAAGATGGCCTGATATGTTCTTTGAGGTGAGCTGCTAGGATGTCTGTAGCCCATTCTGCATCATCTCATGAAGGAGTTTCTACTCAAACATCATGGAGATGAAGAAGGCTACTCTCTCCAGCTCATTGTCAACCAGTCCAATATCCCATGTTATTAGGAGCTGACCAGCTAACACAGCACACAATGTACCACATTAGCACACACTTCATCACATCACTACTGACAACTAAAGATCACTACCAGATTCTGTGGATAAAGGGAAATGTTTTGTGGTTAAACAATGGAGGCAGACACTGAAACCATTTTTAAAGAGACCCTGACAGCATGCAAGGCAGCAAGGAACCAGGAGTGGATTTATCCTTAAGGATTGGGGATTGGGGGTTACAGTCAGCAATACTTCTAACTATTCTACTGTGATCATATGAAATGTATGTCTGAAGGCTTACTCCGTGTTTACAATTTCTGACTTTGCTTCAATTTTTAAGACCTTGAACAAAGTCTTGTGGTTTTCATTTTAATGCTGGTATACTCAGGGTTGTCTTTATGATAATGAACACAGGAGACAGTGCTGTGGAAAACCCTCTTGTACACTGTGAAGATTTGTCGCTGTGATTATTTTAATAAACAAGCTGACTGGCCAATAGCTGAATAGGATAAAGTTAGGTGGGAAAGCCAAACTGAGAATTCTGGGATGAAGAAGGGCAGAGTCAGAGGAGTCTGGAACCAGATGAAGAACAAATTGGACACACAAAATGGGTTAGAGGTAAAGGCCATGAGCCTCAGGGCAGTACATGGATTAATAGAAAAGAGTTAAGTTGACCTAGTTAGTAACAAGCCTGAGCTATTGGCTGAGCAGTTATAAATATTAAGTCTCTGTGTGGCAATTTGGAAGCAGCTGCCAGGAGAAGAGCGGATTGTCAGGACAGGAAAGCTTCCAACTACAAGAGATAAGTAGGGGGAGGGAGAGAGAAAGACCAAAGTAGTAGATTATGTGTCTGTCTGCTTTAAGAAGTCCAATGCTATCCTGGAAGAAATGTTTCCTGTTGTTGTCACTTTTTTCATGAAAAGGGTCAGGTATGCTACCATCTAACCAGCAAGGGGCACATAGCTCAGAAGAAACTCACTTAAGGATATTGGTTCATCAGAACAGAGAGGAAAAAGTTATTGGTGAGGGCACTGGGGCACGTCACTTGTCCTTCCGCAGGTGGTGAAAACTCTGCACAGTCCTTTCCACGGCGTCATCCATGGTGACCAGTGGCTGGTACCCAATGAGCTTTTTGGCTTTCTCACAACTGTAGTAGTGGAATGTGCCAGCCAGTGCCACCCGCATTGGTGTAAAAGTCGGCTGGATTTGGATGAGAGGACTGATCACCATTACCAGCAGAGATAGCAGGAAAGCGAGGTAGTAGGCCACCCAGTAGGGGATGTGGTACTTGGGGGCCTCATAATTGAGGCCTGTCAGAATGCGGGACAGGAACGTCCAGAAAGGGATTGGCTCATCGTTGGTAATGTGAAATGCCTGGTAAAGGAACATGAAGTTAGAGAGCCCTGCACAGCTGCTGGGGTGAACAGGTCACACATGGGTCTCCAAACTCAACTAGCTACTGGGTCCACTTATAACTCTTACTGTGGGAAAGCAGGGGCACACTGTCCTGCCTGCCCTATCTCTTTTGCAGAGGCACTAAATGGTGAGATATGTGTTATGAGGCCTCACATGCCTAGCTGCTGCAGTGTATCACAGTCTGTCTTAGACTCTCAGAATGGGCAGTGTATAAGGGCAGAGAGGGAAGGTGATATAAATTCTACAAAGAGGTCAGGACTATAAAGTGAAGTTTAGCTTGTACTTAGGAAGTTATGTTTGGTAATTATAGCCCATGGTAAAACTCACAGTTTTATCTTTGCATGTAACAAATGGTCCATATTAGATCTTTCAAACATGTTGTTTGTTCTAAACCATAAGTTGTAAGTGGGAAAATGGAAAAGGTTAATGGGGGAGAAAAGAGCACTGAGTGCTCAGGAAGGATTACAGAGCTAGCAGTGAGAAACAAGGAAGATAGTGAGCCTGAGAGGTAGAAGGCAAGGTGGGGGTAACAGAGTAGGCCTTCTCAACTCTGCTGACTTCTGGGTGTCTTCATATATGTCATTTGCTAGAGGAGTGTCAGGTCTGAGCAAAATGAGCCATGTGTGGGTGGTGAGGGAGGATGGAGATCTGAAATATGAGGAGAAAAGTGAGGAGTAAGCATCTGCCTAACGTACATGTGACCAGGCCTAGAGTGAGCATGGGGGCTCTAGAGAACAAAACCTTGAAGCTTGGGTCCTAGATTTTTGGCTGTCCAAAGTAATGTGATGCTGCAATGATGTAGAACTTCCCAGTGGGTCTGAAAGTGCTGGGAGAAGCAAGTGACTTACCTTCCCACCCAGAGCTGGATCTTGGGAAAGGTGCTCAGCTGCCAAGATATGTCCATGAACCACGTTCTCCACAAAGGTGAAGTCAACCAGGTTCTCCCCATTTCTGTAGGTACACAAGTGTTTCAGTTGTGCTGAGTGTTTGGCTGCCAGCCCCACAAAGCCCTAGCACTGAGACATTTGAGAGACGAACCCACTTCTATCTTAATGGTGCCTGCTTCTGGTACACCTGAATGATTGCAACAGGTAATGAAACGTGGCCATGCAGAACTACTGGGACTTTTGGGGCAGTGGGATATTGAAGGACCAACCAATGAATGTGAGACTGTGGTATCCTGCATGCCCCAGCATGACCAGCACTAGTATATCTTCTTGGGCTTTGATTTAAGGTATAGATCTTGAACACTTTCCCAGGATATACCAGGCCAATAGTGTTCCAGTTTTCTCTCACTGTCTCTGAAATCCCTCAAAGTTTTAAGCCAGGGCATCAGTGAGATTTAATAAGTAAAGGAAGACAAGACATGGGGATAAAAAGGAAAAAAGAAATGTAAAAGCCACCAGGCATAGTGGCTCATGCCTTGGATCCCAGCACTTGGGAGGCAGAGGCAGGCTAGCCTGGTCTATAGAATGAATTTCAGGATACCCAGGGCCACATAGTGAGACCCTGTCTTGAAAGGAAAGGAAAGGGAAAAGGGAAAAGGGAAAAGGGAAAAAGGAAAAGGGAAAAAGGAAAGAAAAGGCCTGTTTGGCAGCCAACCACACCTGCTGTAATCCTCTACTTTTTCAACACACTAACTGCCTTCTATATGCAGAGTCAAGGGTCATTGTTTCCCTCCAGAGCTTCAGCTTCTTAATTTCTAAGCAGGGACACACATCCTTTCCCACTGTACCTAAAAGAGTATACAGAACTGAATAGTATCCTTCCAAACCTTATACCACTCTGGAAATTGTGGAGTTGACTTTATGTTGAAATGGGGTCTTCGCAGATGAAATCAGTTAAGGTCAGACTAGGGTAGAAGTCTGAGCTCAATAACTGATGTCTTAATAATAAAAGAGAAACTTGGCCACAGATATCACAGAAGAGAGCCATGTGTAAAGGCAGGAAGAAGTAGGAGTAATGCACTGGCATGCAAAAAGCAGCAAGGAAGAACCCACAGAGGCCTGGAACATATCCTCCTCACAGCAGCCAGAAGGAGCCAGTCCTGCTAATAGTTGCATTTCAGACTTCTGGCTTCCATAACTGAGAATCAGTTTTTGTTTTAAGAATTGTTTGTGGGAATTTGAGATGGCAGTTCCAGGAAATCAACATGTAGGACAATGGAGAAGGTCATATGTATTGTTTGAATGTTTGTGTTCCCTCAATATTCTTGTTAGAACCTAATCTCTAATGTGCTGATGTTCTGAGGTGGAAACTTTGCAGGGCAATTAGACCATGAGAGCTCTACCCTCGTGAGTGGGATCACAGCCGTTTCTTATAAAAGAGGCTTGAGAGAGGCTGTTCGATCCTTGGGCCACATAAAGACACAGGTAAGAGGACTAGAATCTTAGTAGATACCAATTTTGCTGATGGCTGATCTTGGACTGTTGTATAATACTATTTTAAGATGTGTTATATTTGTTCACGCTGTGGAACATTTGTTTTAATGATGCAAAGATGTGTTGCATTCCTTTATGTTGCATTTGTTTAACTCTGTGAAGCTGTGTTTCTTTGCCTGTTTAAAACATCTGATGGTCTAATAAAGAGCTGAATGGCCAATAGAGAGGCAGGAGAAAGGATAGGTGGGGCTGGCAGGCAGAGAGAATAAATACAAGGAGAAATCTGGGAGGAGAGAAGGAAGAGAAGGAGAGGAGGATATTAGGGGCCAGCCACCCATGGAGTAAGAGTGAAAGTAAAATATACAGAAGTAAGAAAAAGAAAAAGCCCGGAGGCAAAAGATAGATGGGATAATTTAAAGTTAAGAAAAGCTGGCTAGCAACAAGCCAAGCTAAAGCTGGGCATTTATAAGAATAAGTCTCTGTGTGTGATTTATCTGGGAGTTGGGTGGTGGGTCCCTCAAAGAGCAAAGAGCCAAAAGAGTAAAAAACAACCAATAATACTTCTCAAGTTTCCAGATCTGTGAGCTGTGAGTTACTCTTATTTGTGAAGTTATCTAGACTATAGTATTTTGTTACAGAAGCCTGAACAGATTCAGACTATTTTACAATGCTGCTTGGCACTCTCAAATCATTATCTGCATGTGTACTCACACAGTCTGAAGGGGACATAATGAACAATGGTAGTTGCCTTACCCAATCATGAACTTCATTTTGCCCTTTCTAGCCGCATCAATTAGGATGGGGACTAACTGCGGGTCCCTTGGGCCAAAAATGCCATGAGGACGAATGGCTGTGGTTAAGAAATTCTTCTCAGGGTCGTTGGCATCCAGTACTACCTGAAAGAGAGCAGGAGAGAAAGGGTCCAGTGTAAGACTTCTTCTGAGCTAAGATTGTACCTTACTCTGTGTGAGTACTTCCCATTAGGAGACAGATCAATGACATACTTGGTGTATGTGCAGGTTACTAGATAGTTAGTGTCTGCCTTGGGACAACATCTCACACTATAATTCTGTATCCCACCTCTCCATGGAAAACCAACAATGAAGGAGAAAACTGGCTAGGATGAAATCAGAAAGCTCAGGTTGGGTTCAATGGCTATTTACACATTCAGCCAGAAGGTGGATCCTGGCTTCAATTTATGGAAAAGGTTTGAGAGTTCTAGTTAATGAGGTACTCTTAAGATCCTCCATAAGGCTACTACCCCCAAAAGAGCTCATGAATTCAGTGGCATGTACAAGGCTTCAAACATAATTATTCAGTATGTAACAGTTCAGTCAACAACAGACACATCTAATTGAGGAGTTAGCTCAATCAGCAAGGCACTTGTCTTGCAAGCATAAAGACATATACATATACAGATTATAGTCCTAGCCACTTTTAGCTAGTTATCGATTGAATATATGGCCATCAGAGCTTCCTGACCCCACCCCCCTCATATGCTGCTAAGCATCTGTGGTGCTGAGGGGAATGACCAAGCTTTCAAATGGTCTCTGACATGGCTATCTCTATGGAGTTTGAAAAGCTGCTAGACTAATCCCAAAGATTACTTATTATTATTCAAAGGATTTAAGATGGTGTTGATCTTTAAAATAAGGTAAGTTACTGCTGGAGTCACCTCCAGTTTTTCTAATTTCTAGTTGAATATTCAAAAGTCCATGCTAGTGACACATTGATGGCTTGAGCCCAGGCTTCCAATTGGAGGTCATGAACAAACTCAGCTGTGGGTTGGAAGCCTAGCACCTCAGGTGACAGTGCACAGGGCCTCTGGGGTAACTACTATTATCTGAAGGCCCATGGTAGGCTTTGGTCTCCTTTAAGCCTAGTTCCATGGAATAGGTGGGCATAGCTTGGACATAAGACTTCTTAATTAGGTGAGAACAGGCTCTGCTGTGATTTCTATGTAACTGTGTCCTGTTCTGAGATGGAAGTGAGAACAGACAGAGCAGGGAGACCCATGCCAGTTCAGTATAGAGCTTCAGTTTACAAATACTGGCTTGGAGAGCAAACCTCAGTGTGTGATGTGCTGCAAAGGCCTAGGAATCATAAGTCCACAGCTTCCCAAGTTACTGTGGAGCCCAGGAGTACCCCAGCTTGTAGTATAGGATTTCCAGTGTCCTGGAAACATCAGTGCTCAACCCATAATTCTGCCCAATACAGTCACATTGAAATTATGAGATCCCTGATGAAGACTCTGGATCCCTCTTTGAATCAGTGTATTTTCCTGTAATCTAAAGATGGTAAGAGTGCCTGTTGTATTAGATCATTTTGGAGTTTAAAGGAAGTAGTCCCCAGAAAATAATGAGAACAGTATCTGACCACATTAAGTCATTCTGTCCTCTTGAAATTTAATTCCACGTATTGAATGTACATCTCATGTTGGGTACTTGGGTCTCAAACTACTAACTTTTCCATGTTCACAGATACTTTTTCTTATGAGTGCAGATACTTGAGGTATCTCTTCATTTAATTGGCTTTAAAGTACATACTCTCTCCTGCAAGATCTTGGTCTCTGTGTAGTAGTCAATGGGCTTCATGGCGTAAGGGAGGTCTTCAGTTCCATTTTTTATGTCAACACCCTCAAAGACAACACTGGCACTGCTGGTTAAAATGAGTTTCTGGCAGAGAAACATTTAAAGGAAAACACATGTCAGGAATTATTGCTATTCCAACTGCCTAGGCATCGTATATGAGCAAGCCCCATCCACAAAGCACTTCCAAGTCACTTGCTGGAGTGCCTTTTTTTTTAAATCTTCTAAGATAACCCAAAGATTACCACCTTTTTAGCCATTGGGACTTTAGACACATTATGGTATTACAATCTAAAAGGAGTGGATCTCATTTTTCCCATCCTATCACGTCTGAGGGAGAAAACAAAACTAATACTATTCATGGTAGAAATCTATGGGAGAATCTCCATGGAGAGAAGGATGGACTACCAACCTGTAGAGAAAATTCTGCTTACAAAATTCCACCAGATACTCTGATACCAATCTTGCCATGTAAACACGAACATATGCATATGGATATTACTTAAGTCATGCTTTGCTAGTAGAGCCAAGCATCTAGCATGTATAAGGCCCAAGGTTTAGTCCACAACAGCAGTATAAAAGGAAGGAAGGAAGGAGGGAGGGAAGGAGGGAGGGAAGGAGGGAAGGAAGGAAGGACGGAAGGAGGGAAGGAAGGAGGGAAGGAAGGAGGGAAGGAAGGACGGAAGGAGGGAAGGAAGGAGGGAAGGAAGGAGGGAAGGAAGGAAGGAGGGAAGGAAGGAAGGAGGGAGGGAAGGAAGGAAGGAGGGAAGGAAGGAGGGAAGGAGGGAAGGAAGGAGGGAAGGAAGGAGGGAAGGAAGGAAGGAGGGAAGGAAGGAAGGAGGGAGGGAAGGAAGGAAGGAGGGAAGGAAGGAGGGAAGGAGGGAAAGCAAGCTACCTATATTTTGAAGGAGGATGCTCTCTTTTGAAGGTCCCCAGATTGCATCGTTCTGGTTAAGAGCAGTTCATCTGATACTGACACCATTAGCTCCATTAGTTATCCCTTTACTGCTTTTATTCTACATCATTCTACAAGTCCTAGCCAGATGGTAGAAGACAAACACCAATTTATAATGTTTTAAAAAACAAGAAACCAAACCAATCTCCTTAGCCCAATGTTTCTCAACCTTCCTAATGCTGAGACCTTTTAATACAGTTCCTCATGTTGTAGTGACCCCCAACCATAAAATTATTTCATTGCTACTTTGTAACTTTAATTTTGCTACTGTATATACAGGATATCTAATATGTGACCCCTGTGAAAGGGTCATTCAATTCCTAAAGGGGTTGTGGCCCACAGGTTGAAAACTGCTGCATTAGTAGATGACAGAAATAAAAAGATACAATGCCTACATGGAAAACATGGGCAAGCCTATAGAAAATATTGGGAGTTCAGCAAAGTAGTTGAATTCAAAATCAATATAAGGAAATTAGGAACTGGAGAGATGGCTCAGTGGTTAAGAGTGTTTAGTGCTCTTGAAGTAAACCTGTGTTGGGTTCCCAGCACCTATATGATATGGCTCACAACTACTTGTAACTCCAGTTCCAAGGGGATTTGATACCTCTGGCCTCTGAAAGCCCCTGAACATGAATGTGCACATGCATACGCACACACACACACACACATAAATACCAAACAAAAAAACCCTAAAACCACTATATATCTATATTTATTTACATATATGAAAATTAGCCATATTCTTAAACAGTAGCAATAACTGAAAATGTAGTATAAGTTGGTGATTAACAAATGATGGAGTATACAGGAATAAACATAACAAAAGATGTATAAAACCTTTGTGAAGTACAGTACAATTAACACTGAGTAGCATTACAGATTGGGAGATATTGCATATTCATAGATAGGAAGACTCAATGTTAGAAAGACATCAGACCTTTTTAAAATTTCACAGAACATAAATGCAATTGCTGCAACAATCCTAGTTTCATCAAGGAATTTGACAAGCTGATTCTACACTGGATGGGAAAACTTGAACTAAAGGCTCAGAGCAGCTAAGGGATCTTTGAAGAAGTTGGTCAGGGAGTGTGCCCTACCAAATACTAAGGTAGATCCTAAACCCATGAGAACAGACAGAGGTCAGTGCAGTAGACAGAAAACCTAGGAACAGACTCAGGCAAAATAGGATGCCCAAAGTATGCTGCAGGCAGCATATATTTACACAAAGTTTGGATTAAGCCATCAGCATGTTGAACTAATTATTTAGAAAAAAATTTGATCTTGACCCTGTTGCATATAATCATAGATTTCTGGTTAATTAGATTTAAATATGGGAAGTAATTCTTTAAATATTCGAGATAAAATGCATTAAAGACTTTTTTGTTTTTGGTGTTGGAAAAAATGTTCCTCAAATCAATTTCTTTTTGGCCTTATGCACGAAGCTACCTACCCCTTAAAGGATGAACAAGAGTTTTATATATATATATATATATATATATATATATATCAAGATGCATAAAGCTCAAAAACAATATTCGTTGAAAAAAGTTTCAGAAAGACATGTTCAGCATGGTATTATTGATATAAAGTTCTATAACATGCAAGCTAATACCTCATACTATAAGTGCATGGAATTAATAGAAATAACAAGCCAGATTCAGAACTGTTGCCCCACATGGGTGAAGAAGGGTCCCTGGCCCTGAGGAAGGGGACACAGGTGGCTTTAGCCATGCTAGTAGTAAACACTCTGCCCATTTGTATTGTTCTGTGTCTTCCATTTAACCAACAGCAGCAGGGGGCTTCACAGAAATCCAGTTATATACACATCTTGGAGTAGAGAGTGGAGAATCTAGAACTTGGTAACAGAGGGTCTGCTTTGAATTTCACCTCTTTTATTTACTACCAGAGACTTTGCTTAGCCCCTGGCTACCTAAGGAAAAGAAAAGTAGGTGACAAATGCAGCAGGGCAAAGTTCTTGTCAAGTATAAAGCATAGCTGAGTATGACAGTTGGTTCTGATTGTCAAGTTGATAGGGTTTGGAATGATCTAGGAGATACCTGCTGGGCATCCCTGTGAAGGCATTCCCAGAGAGGTTTAGATTGTAGAAGGAAATCCCTCCTGAATGGGATCATGGGCTGAGGTCCGGAACAGGAAGAAAGGAGGAAGTTAATTGAATATTGGCATCTATTTCTCTCTTCTTCCTGCTTACAGAAGTACTATGATTAGCCAATGAAAATTTCAAGTGATAGGAATCCAGAAGAGCTCCCTCTCACCTATTCCTGTTGAACCAGTTGATTACTGGGAACTGGACAAAAGTACCCAGGAAGATTATTGGGAGAAAAGCCCCTACTCTTTGTAACCCTTTTCTCAGTTTCAGAGTACTTGTGGCATGCAGCACTGTGAGCAAATGAGCTGTTGCACCCAGAGGCTGTGGTTTCCATTAAGGTCATTCTAGGAACCAGATTTTTAACAGTATTGTAAGCTGATGCAAGGCCAAAATTTGTATGCCCTTAGGTTCAAGTCAGGATAGGTTTCTATCAGATATAAACAACAGTGCTTTCCTTTTTTTCCTTTAAAATAAAAGCAGGTTAGTAAACAATGTGATGAATTTTTAAAAAGGTTCAGCACTGAATGATCCGGGAATCCCACCTCTGAGTAGATACCTGAAACAATCAAAAGCAAGGACTTAGGCAGGTATTTGTAGTCTCCATTCACAGAAGTACAATTCATAGCAGCCAAAAGGCAAAAGCAACACAAATGTCTACTGATGGATGCATGAATAAATAAAATACTTATATTTATTCTGTCGTGTGTGTGTGTGTGTGTGTGTGTGTGTGTGTGTGTGTGTGTGTGTGTGTGTATGTGTGTGTGTAGGTCAGATGTTTATGTTGGAGGTCTTCCTCGTCTCTCTCCATCTATAAATGGGAAGTATTAGCCTTGAAAAATGAAGGAAATGCTGACATGCTACTGTAGCATGAATCTTAAACGTTCTTACTAAAAAAATCAAACCCGAGGCCAGTTATTGGGGTCAATGCTGGTAGATCAGAGAGACAGAACAAGCCACAGCTATCTCACCTGGCCAACTTCTCAGCTGGTCTTGTTTCCTCAGACTGGAAGCTTTTGTGTCCTCATCTCCAAATGGCTCTCAGCTGAACTGCTGCTAGAAAGCCTGAAAGCTTAACCAGCCAAATGCTTAACCAGCCAAATGCCTCTAGTTTCTGGTCCTCACGCCTCATATACCTTTCTGCTTTCTACTACCACTCCCTGGGATTAAAGGCTGCTTTCTGGGATTAAAGGCGTGAGTCACCATGCCTGGCTGTTTCCAATGTGGCCTTGAACTCACAGAGATCCAGAGGGATTTCTGTCTCTGGAATGCTAGCATTAAAGGCGTGTGCTAACATTTTCTAGCCTAAGTATCTTGTGGCTTTTCTGTTCTCTGACCCCAGATAAGTTTATTAAGGTACACAATATTTTGGGGAACACAATACCACCACATGCTACAATATAGACAAATCTTACAGCCATTGTGATAAGTAAAATAAGAACACCACAAAAGGATAAAAACTGTTTGAATGCACTCATGTGAGCTTTCCAAAGTAATAAGAGAGATAGACTGGCGAATAGCTGCCAGGAGCTAGGGAGGGGCAGAAGGATGCAAAACTTCTGCCTACTACTTGGACAGAGAAGGACAGTGATAATGGTTAGACAATGAAGTGAATATAGTTAATATCACTGAATGCATACTTGAAAAAGGGTTACAGTGGTAAAAACTATATTGAAAACATTATGTATATGTTGTTTCAACAGAGAAAATAAGCAATGTCTAAATTTCATAGCTCTTTAAGCAAAGACCAATAAGCCTTAGCCTGTCTGAGCACTCAGATGGTCTATCTGTATTGGAAGAGTATAACACCAGTTGGCCTTCTGCGATATCAACTGGTACCCAGGGCTTAATTTTTAATTTCTTCTCAACATGGAAGAGGCAATCCTGGATAATCCCAGGAAGACAGTAACAGGAACCACTCCGCTTTCTCTCCCTCTGAAAAAGCAAGAACATTCTCCCGATACTAGTCACCACAGCATTCCCCTTACCTGAACCCCAGCCTCTTTGCAGGTTTCAATGACATTCTTGGTGCCAATGAAATTCACTCTATAAAAGAGTTCCTTGTTGTCACCAGATGGTGAGGGTGACGCACAGTGGAAAACTGTGCTTACACCTTCCAGAGCTGGGTACAGGTCCTGGGAAAGCACACAAAGACAAAAGAATCATTCCAGCTTAGGGCAGGTCAACAGCCTTCTCATATTCTCTGTCATCTGTGGCCTGTAGGTCTTTTGGCTTTTTATAATTATATAAGCAACACAGAAACATACTCTTTGTAAAAGATTCAAACTACACAGGAGCATGTAAGATAAAACCATACTTTCTTTTAATTGCCCCCTTTAATTATCTTGTCCTGAATAAAAAGGGAGTATGAGAAGCCAGACAATGCAGTGACTAGAAGATGTATATAAAATGAGTCAGTTTCACTTACTTCTACTTCTAGAAGTAAGACAAACAGGTGGCTGCATATCTGGGGCAGGAAACACACTAAATGAACCAGGAAGACCTTGTTTTATCATATCGGGAAATATGGAGGTTTCAAAGACTTAAGAACTAACACACAGAGACTCCTACTGGCCAAAGAAGAGGCAATTTGGTCATCAGTTAGAATAAGAGTTGTTAGTGAGAGTGGAGAATAGAGAATAAAATAACTCTTAAGGAAAAAAGATCTGAGGGGCTAAATGAACAGAATGACAAAATGTCACCATTGTGCCAAATTTCCACAAAGTAGTGAACTTTAGGTATAATTCATAGTTATCACCAGAAGAAAATCACTAGCTGCCATAAGATCCTTTGTTATTATACACAAACATGATCGTCCTGGGAAACCATTTGAGAGTAAGGTGTCATCTTCTAGGCATGTAGACTTTTGCCCAAATAACTATCAAATGATGAACACTAGGCACATTCCAACACATAGGCTATTCTTTTTAAGTATTTTATATTGTTGTGTGTATATGTGTGTGTGCACGCGCGTGCGTGTGCTCGTACATCTGGAGACCAGAAGAAGATGTAGGATGTCTTCCTCTCTCCCTTTTTTGAGACAGGGTTTCACTATGTGATTCTGGCTGACCTGGAACTTGCTATATAGATCAGGCTGCCCTCAAATTCATAGATCTATCTGTTTCTAACTCCTACATTTTAAAAGACACCTTGGTTGGCCAACAAGCTCCTGAAATTCACCCATCACCACCTCTCTAATGATTCGCTTGCAGGACTGCATGACCGTGCATAGCTTTTCATTATTTGTGGATTTGGGAAATTTGAACTCTTGCTTTTATAGCAAGTGCTTTCACTTACTGAACCATCTCACAGGATCAAGGAGGTTAATTTATGGACTTCTGCTCAATTTGCATTTGTCTGTTTGTTCACGATTAGATTCAGGCTTAATAGTTTTGGCAAACATTCCACATCAGTCAGTGCTGGTGTGTTCTTATCAGGGTACTTCTGGTTAATGCCAAGTTGGATCATTCAATGAAGGTGATGGCTGCCAGATTCTTACCAAATCTGTGGGGTGATAATTCCATGGACTGGTTACAGCATCCACTGATGGTTCTCATCATTTCTCATCAAATGGTGACATTCTCATTTGAGGGTGCCCTATACATTTACTGAGTTGACATTCCTCTGACAAGTAGACCTCTGCCCACCTGAATTTTCTTTTTATTAACTATGGATACGTAGACTCCTTTAATAATGTGTTAGATAACAGAATCTATGCATCCACAGATACTACACTCCCAGATTCCCTTTCATGTTTTGTTTAACTTGTACAAGTGGTTAACAGAATTCAGGTAAACACATTTACTGATTCTATAAAGGAATTACAAAGGCTACAGGTAAAGAGATGCACAGGGTGAGTTGTTAAGGGAATGGTATGGAGCTTCCACACCCACCCTGCATACACCAACCTCCAGTCTCATGACTGAAGCATGGACATAAGCAAATCGAATAATGAAGCCCAGCAAGGTCTGTCTGGTCAGATTCTTCTTGGATGCTCTGTGTAGCATTCTTTCCTCCTAGGTATGGGGATGGATCCCTTCTGACACTGGGTAGGGAGAAGAGCATAAGACTCATCTTTAGAAAGATGAATTATAGTTTCTATAGCCTGCCTTAGAGAAAGAGCTGTGAACTAGGAAATGTGGATAAAAACAAATACTCTTCTCTCTATTTAATATCTCTAATATTTTTACTCTCTCTTTCTGTCTCTCCTGTGTATGTGTGTTTGCGCACACATGCATAGGGGTTTGCAGTCTTGATGTACCAGGACAGGGGAACCTGAACCATATCAAGTCTTTAGTTCTATAGAAATAAATGAAATTGTGTGTGGTGCCTCATACTTGTAATCCCAGCATTTGGGAGGTGGAAGCAAAAGGATTAGTGTGAGTTTGAGGCTAGTATCCTTGACACAGTGAGTTCCAAGGTAGCCTAGACTACAAAGCAAGACCCTGTCTCAAAATATGCATGTGTGTAAATCTCTCAAAGTCTAGATTTTGTATCATCTAGACATAACCAATATAAAATTATTGAGATACTTACTGGTTTTGTATTCAGTCTTTGAAATTGAACATGTATTTTAACGTGCCTATCACTGCAGACTTGTCTCAATTGAAGTACTGGATGGCCATATGTGCCCAGTGGCTGCCTTAATGGACAATGCAGTCCTAGATATACTAGTTCACAGGAAACAGTAGGTGGCACAGAGACATGCTGATGCCCTGGAGATGCAATTAGCAAAATCCAGACCCTGGGAAATGTTGCCTGACAGTGAACAAACTAAGCACCACCAAGTCAATGCACACATTAAGCCATCTTGGGAACTAAGAGACTAATACATTTTAATCAAATACAGTCTTGACTGTGTTTAACTCTTTATTTGGAAAAACAATTACACAGAAGTCTTATGAAGTAATTAATGAATGATTGGCATTAAGGAGCTATTAATGGTACCTCTGAGATGTGAATGTGTAATGTTTGCAATAAAAATGATTTTTACGTTTTAGAGACAAATTCTGAAATTTTTTCTATGTTTACAGATAGACTGATAGATATGTTGAAGATTGGCTTCAAAGTAATAGGGGGGCCAGGGGGATGGACACAATGAGAAGATGGCTGAGTCAGCAAACTGCTTGATGTGCAAGTTATAACAGTCTGAGTTGGATCCCCAGGATCCATGTTAAAAATCAAAACAATGCAACAACAACAACAAACCAAACAAAACCAAAAATCAACCAAAAGAAACCAATTGTGCACAGAGGTATGTCTGTAAGTCCATGGCTGGAGAAGCAGAGACATGCGGATACCTGGAGTTTCCTAGCCAGTCAGCCTAGCTGAGTCAATGATCTCCAGGTTTAGTGATCCTGTCTCAAGAATGAGGTGGAAAGCTCTTTCTAGTGAAAGAGACCTGATGCCAACTTCTGGCCTCCACAAACATGTATACTTGTCCACGCCCTCATGCACAGAGAAAATAATCTGAGAGGGTAACTGACATGGCCATGAGAAGTTATATAAAGGAGAGAATTTATATAACAGTATAAAGAAAGAGAATGAACACATGACAGAGGCTAAGATACAGGGAGAATATAATAAAGACTAAAACAGAGGCCTGGATATTTTAAAGAAAATCCTGAAGCCATGAAGAGAAAAGCCAGATGACTTACAAAGAACAACAATCTGAACTAAAAGCTTCGTGTTAGTTACAAAAGACACCACAAGACATGGGGGCTGCAGAGATGGCTCAGTGGTTAAGAGTACCAGCTGTTCTTCCAGAGGACCTGATTTTGATTCTCAGCACCCACATGGCGGCTCACAACCATTTATAACTCCAGTTCTAGAGGATCTGATGCCCTCTTTTGACATCTGCAGGCACTGCACACATGTGGTGTACAGACACACATACAGGCAAAACACCCATACACATAAAAAAATCTCCAAAAAGTAGTATGTAATCTATATCTTAATACATTAGATCTTGAACTACTTTGAGACCCTGCTTTCAGTTGGTAAGCATCTTTTTTTTCATCTGGTTGTTTGGAAGGCAGAACGAGGAGCTAAATAGAGTGCATTGAGAGGGGGTTCTTTGGCTGACAGCACTGGAAGGCTGAGGCAAAAGGATCATTTTTAAGTGTTCCCCTGTCATGTTCTTTACTTGCATCATGTCCACCTTTCTTTCCTTAGCTCAGAATTCAGGATCCACTGTTAGAGCTTTGCCTTATTCCTCTGACCCTTTATCACATTTGTCTGGCAAACGTATGCTCTGGTTCAATGCACCTTGCCCGCAGTCCTTGCGTATACTCGAGAGGCTGAGTGTGACTAGAGAACATGCTATGTCTCAAAAAACCAAAAAAAAAATTACATTTATTTATTGATATTGGGGGTTGGTGTGCCCCGGTGTGCATGTGGCAGTCAGGGGGCAACCTGAGGTGTAATTCTCACTATCCTGAAATCAACAGCCAGGCTTGACTAGCTAGTCATCAAACACAGGGTCCACCTGTCTCTGTTGTTCTAGATCTGGAGTTACAATTGTGCTCCACCATGTCTGGAAATTTCATGTGTTTTCCGGGAATCCAGTTCATTGAGCATAGACAAGCACTTTGTAAACTCATCCATCCCCCAACCCTGAATGGAAGCTTTTAATACAAATGTGCAGAGGCATGTGCACATGAATATGATATGTATGGATGTGGTTTTTTTCTCCTATTATGTTCTTAATGAATATGGGACCTGTAGTTATGGCTTCCTTACGTGAGTGGCAGTTATGCAGGACCTGTAGTCTTCCTTTGGAATCAGATACAGGTGTGGGAAGTCTTTTACCAGTGCTGGGGTTACAACCTGAAGGAGATTTTGATGTATCACCCCAGTGACTGCATCCAGCACTAGTTTAGGGGTGACTGTGGGGGAACAACAAAAGAACAATATCCTCAAAACTCTTGGTGAAGAAGACCTTAAGAACAAAACAGGTTTCTATAAGAGACAAGGGTTCTAATCAGGGCACCGTGTCAGTTCTGCCCAAGTTTCCTGCCTGTCCCACTAACTTCCCACTTGTCCCCACAATCACATAATCTTATTCTTTGAATTCAATCTTAGTCTCTCTGTCCTTCCTGCCCTGTTCATGGTCCCCGCCTCACTGTGGACTGTCTCTTTGGAGAACCCTGGATGACATGTGACAAGAAGAGAATGGTGTAGGGGGATGAAAGTTATACAGGACAACTGCTGCAAGCTGCAGGAAAATGTAATGGAACCCAGCTACTATCACAAAAGCTACTACTTGGAAAAGTCAAGGAGACTTTTCCAAAGGTCAAGCCATGCCTTAAGAAGTCTTGGTGATATTTTAGCTTTTGTATATATATATATTAGCTGGTTCCTACAGTGATTTTCTTATAATGCTATAAGTGCTTCCAAGAACTCCTAATAGTGTATTTATCTAAAATAACTATCAAGCATCCAAGGCCAAATGATCTTCTGAACTAAGGTAACACGCTTATGGAAACAACGCTGGTCTCCTAGGTCAGGTGGATAGCTTTATTTCATGTGCAATTTAAGGTGAGACCCTCATTTCTTATACAGCTTTACTAACATTATAGACTCCTAACTTCTTACTTAACCACTTCTAGGAATGTAGACTGAGCACATAAATTTCCTTTTTGATATTAGCTCTCAGTTGACCTCCTCCTTTAACCACTCCCTTTGTGGGTTGTAAAAGAAAGCCTGACAGTGTCACTGCTTGAGGAAAATTCTTACCTGCCTTTATGACCCTGTAGGAATTCAAGCCTGGTGACCTGGCGGAGGGGAAGGATTGCTATTGCTTGGGTTTACAACTGAATACCCTAGAGAACTTGAGGACAGAGAACTGAGAGGGATAAGGAGGATTTTGACTAGAGAACTTGAGGATGAGATGGAAGATGAGGAAGAGCCAGATGGGGAAGTATTAGATGGGTAAGAACGAGATGAGAAGAACCTAGATGAGGCAGAATTAAGATAGAACTTAGAGGGGACTGTAGATAAATACAGATAAATCAGGCAAGAAAGGAGCTAGGCATGAGAACAGAACTGAAGCTGTGTAGATAGGATTTTATCCCTGAGAAATAAAGTAGACAGACAAAGAGCTTGGTGTACTTAGATTCAGTTTCTGAAAATAATTCTCGCCATTTGTAGTTTCTCTTCTGGGCCCCTGGGAAGAATATTATTAAGGCTGGTCCTTTAATATATTCGAGAGACAACAAAGGGGCTATGGAGTCAAAGCTGGTGAGGATACTGTACAGACAGTGACAGTAGAAATGACCAGAGTTGGTCCTGCTGCAGTAGTAGACGACGGGGGAGTAGGAAGAGATAAAACAGTACCCAAAGTACAGTGTCTGCCAGAGAGAACGTACTTATTGGGGAGGACAGGTCTGGACTAGGGAATGACAATGGGAGTACAGGACCAGAGCATTAATTGCAAAGGAAAAGAGACAAAACCAGTAAGGTTATCTTCTTAAGCATCCAATTAGACAATAGTACCAGAAATGCTGATGATGTCATCATCAGCAAGGAGCTGAAACCATTATGGAATGAAATGAGTCACTTGGGAAGGGAAAGGCATAACTATGGATAGCTGCCATAAACAGACACAACAGCTTTGACAGCTTTGCTGAGCAACTTGACAATACCTAAAAATATTCAGTATATAAATATCCCATACAACATGGATGGAACTTGAAAGCATTGTGTTAAAAAAGCTGGCCACCTATGAAATTTGCAGAACAGAGAGAATGGAACAACTAAAGTGGATGAGTGAGCAGTGCTCAGGGGCTGGGATGAGAGTGGGAAGTGAACAAGTATAAAATTTCCTTTTGAAGTAAAGATGTTCTGGAAGTAGATAATGGGGAATGACTGTACAGTTTTGAAGAGCTGCTAAAAACTGTTTCAGTGTACATTTCAAAAATGTGAATTTGGGGGCTAGAGAGGTGGATCAGCAGTTAAGAGCATGCACTGCTTTTTCAGAGGACCCAAGTTGAGTCCCATTAACCCACATCAGATGACTTACAACCACCTGTAACTCAAACTCTGATGAGGGATGGAATATAACACCTACCTCTGGCTTCTGTAGATACCTGCACTCATATGCACATACCAACATAGACATAAACATTTATATATATAATAAAATAAATTTTTAAAAATATGAATTTTATGGCATATGAACAATATCTCAGTTAAATGGAATAAATACCATATGGCCTAGCATCTGCATAGTCTAAGGCAGCAGTTGGCATGCTGCAACCTATAATATGTTTGATGAAATGTTTTGGTAAAGTTTGCTTGGCACACAGCCTTGTCTGCTCACTGGACTATGACCCATGGCTGCTTTCATGCTCCTATGACACAATAAAGCCCCCATGACACAGACAACAGTCATTCATTCTGAATACTGACAACATGGTATGTAAAATTATTTCCTGTAACTTCGACATTTTTCAAAATATATATTTTTTCAAACTATAGTTTTCCTGGCCTTTGAGTACTTGGTTTTCCCTTCAGGGCCCTGTGGGAAATTATTGAGGCTGAGTGGGTCCCTTACCTGTCGGCTGCAGAGATCACCTATAAAGAACTGCACCTGGGGGTTATCAAACCCTTGGCGGATATCAAATACATTGACAGCATAGCCTCGTGCCAGCAACTGTTCCACCATGTGCTGCCCCAGGAACCCAGAGCCTCCAATCACCGTGCACTTCTTAGCCTGGGGAAAGAGATGGCAAAAGGTCCAGAATTGTGAAGATGGAAGTGATAAAAGCATACACATCTGTTTGTCTGAAACTGCCTGAGCTCAGGGAAAAGCTTGGTATAACTGTGTTTGATCACCAGTGTCACCTCTTCTCCTGCATTTAACAAGGAAGGAAGAGAAAACTAATAACACTAGGCTAGCCTGGTAAATTTGATGATATAATCCACATTTTATATTTAGTGGAAGGGAATTAAAATTCCTATGATCACACCAGACAATATAAACAAGCAAAAAAGCCAAAGGCAGTGCCTTCTTGCTCTTGATTGGTAATCCCTGGCCAGAAAAAAATAAACCTAGCCATTTGAGAGTTTGTAATGAAAGCATCTGTCTCCAAACTCACAGGACAGTGATTTTCTTTGCCTCCATGCCCACAAGGAGGGTGGCTCTTGTGACTCTGGGCTGACCACTTAACCCCTTCCTGCCCATGTATTAAGGGCCATGCTGCTGGGATATCCGGGCAGAATTGGGGAGCCATTCATCACTCACACCCAGGGCTTTGCTGTGTCCTCTCTGAACTTAGAGGAACTGATAAATCAGCACTGGGGTGTGGTATTAGATTCCAGTCTCCACAGTGTGCCCAATTTCTTGGCTAAACTCCAACTCTGGGAAGTAGGGTAATGGAAGGATAGTATACCACCTGCAGGTGCATAAATATTAGGACTCTAGGATATCAATGCAAATGTTCACTGGCACCTGCTCAATAATCTGGCCACCTGCATTAGTAACCTTTTCTCATCACTGTAAGAAAACATCTGTCAGATGCGACTTAAGGAAAGAAGGATTCATTTTATTTCTGACCAGGAGCAAATCCACCTACCCATCTAATCATGCCAGGAAGCAGGGAAAAAGGGAACACGTGATCCCTCTCCCTTTCAGAAAGAGGTCACATAGGAAAGCAAGAAGCACTGTCTCCTTTGGGCCATATAGCCCAAGGCCATGGGCAGAGCAAATACCACTACATTTCTCCTTTTTATCTAAATAAGAAGGTTCTAAACCTAATGCAAAGTATAAGTAAAACTGGAACTACAACCAACAAGAACAACTTTAAACAAGAAACATATGCTAAATGTCCAGACCATAGGTAAATAGCACAGCCATATCTGAATGGAATGGCAGGAGTCATAAAGCCAGCACAGCTGCTTGACAAAGATCCAGCAGAGCTGAGCCACATGATGGCTGCCATGCCACCTTTGGTTTTCATCTCCACCTGTTACATACTTGGGGCACTTTTAATATTTGTACAATTTGAGGATGTTGGATTGATGGAAAATTCCTTATGAATCATTTATGCCTTCTCCCAGGAATGCTGCTTCTGAGCTCACCCAGGAAAGTCCTGAACATACTATCCCCCACCACCACCCAGCTTTTAGGGAGATATTCTTATCTACTTGAAGGTTTTCCTTACGCCTTGGAGGTTGTGACACATAAAGAAGCCAGAGGTCTCTTCATGAGGCTATGAGACATTCTTGAAACATCTGTCCCTTTACTTACACAGGAATAAGATATTCAAAACAAAGTAAAATTAAAAAAGTCAACAAGATCTGGTGGGCTAGAGGAGTTGGCCACAGTTCAGATTACAAGGTTCTTCCCACTGTACAATCAGATAATTACGTAGCATACAACTCTGCCCTACATAGAGACATATTGATAAGTAAAGTATGGAGTGGAAAGATGGTAAAAGTATGAGATGTTAGGACCTCCCTCTCTTAGAAGTTAGCTCATGCAGAGCCACTATAATGTCATATGACCAAGGAACAACAGAATGCCAGGATTAGACATATATAAGGATATAAATGTGAACATTGCTTGTATTATGTCAGATTTTGAATAATAACTGCACTAGCTTTGGCCTGAGGATTTTTCCTGGGCACTCTGACCACTAAGAGTTAATAATACATTGTTTGAGACATGGCAAAATGCCCAGGGTGGTTGAAGATTTTGTTTTGCTCTAGTGTCCTTGAACAACCAAAGCAACCAGCCTGAGTACAGGCTGCCATATGTCTCTAGATTCTCAAAAATTGGGTTATGGGGTTTAAGAGTAAGAATGATAACTCTGGCTGGGTGGTGGTGGTGGCGGTGGCGGTGGCGGTGCATGCCTTTAATCCCAGCACTTGGGAGGCAGAGGCAGGTGGATCTCTGTGAGTTCGAGGCCAGCCTGGTCTCCAAAGTGAGTTCCAGGAAAGGCACAAAGCTACACAGAGAAATCCTGTCTCGAAAAACCAAAAAAAAAAAAAAAAAAAAAAAGAATAACTCTGTTTATTAATGATGTCAAAACTTGAGAGAAAATGATTGGAAATGATAACTCTGTTTTGTCATAGTTTATTAATGATGACTAAAAGATGAGCAAAAGGAAGTAAAACACATGTCCAAAACCAAAAATGAGATGATCTATGTTTTGGAACATCATGAATTTATCCATGCTAATTAAATTCTGTAATAATAAACACACACTCTGGCTGCTAGTCAGTCAGGCTGCAAGATTCTCCCGACCACCATGGCCTGGCTCACTTCCTTCTCCCTCCTACTCCTTACACCCTCTGCAGGACCCATCCACTGCCGGGGATGGCTCCCGGCAGGTAAATAGCAAATTACTGAGATTACCCCAATAGCTGTCCTATCCTGATGAATCTGACTCTAGTACCTAATATGTTCTTAGCTAAGATACAAGAGGACTGTACCCGTAACTATCCAGTCTTCAACCTCATCAAAGACCCAAGAAGGAAAATAATATTACCATGGTCTAAAGGATACAGGCCATCATGGTGGGAAGACATGATAGCAGGAGAGGCAGGTGGCTATATTGCATTCCTGGTCAGAAGAGAGGGAGGTACAGACACACAGACACACAGAAGCATTTCTGGTCAGAAGAGAGGGAGGAAGATAGAGACAGACAGACAGACAGACACAGACACAGACACACGCATTCATCTGGCCTTTTCCTTTTTATTCAGTCTGGGATTCCAGCACATGGGATGCTGCCACCAACATTTAGGGCAGGTGCTGTGGGATGTTCTGTATGGCAAATGTGTTGCTCTGATTGGTTAGTAAATAAAACATTGATTGGCCAGTAGTCAGGCAGGAGGAAGTATAGGCGGGACAAGGAGGAGAATAAAGCTGGGAAGTGGAAGGCTGAGTCAGAGAGACACTGCCAGCCACCACGATGACAAACAGCATGTGAAGATACCGGTAAGCCACGAGCCACATGGCAAGGTATAGATTAATAGAAATGGATTAATTTAAGCTGTAAGAACAGTTAGCAAGAAGCCTGCCACGGCCATACAGTTTGTAACCAATATAAGTCTCTGTGTTTACTTGGTTGGGTTTGAGCGGCTGTGGGGCTGGCAGGTGAGAGAGATTTGCCCTGACCCTGGGCCAGGCAGGAAAACTCTAGCTACAGGCAGGTCTTCCCTTGTCAGTTAAATATATCTGAAAACAACCTCACAGACATTCCCAGAGGCATGTCTCCTAGGTGATTACAAATCTAGTTATGTTGACAGTGAAGATTACCCATCACACTACCTCTGTTCCTAAGGAGGGCCTGTAATAGCTTTCCTACTCCCTGAGGTCTTTCCAAAGCTGTATCTGGGCTTCTCTAAGATGACAGACCCCAATTTTCTTAGCTTGTATAGAGTTAGTCAATGTTGGCTATGTGGATAGTCAAGACCAAAAAGAACTTCTGTTCCTTATTACAGAATAAAGCAACCAATCTCCCCCCCCTTTTTAATAATTTTAAAAAGATTTATCTTTATTTTACATGTATGGGTATATTGCCTGCATGTATGCTTGTGTACCGTGTGCATGGAGTGCCTGTGAAGGCCAGAAGAGGGTGTCAAATCCTCTGGAACTGGAGTTACAGATGGCTGTGAGGCACTATGTGGATTCTGGGAACTGAACCTGGATCTGGAAGAGCATCAGTTGCTTTTAACCAGTCCACCAACCTCCCCTCTTGTACCTTAAACATTGACATAACTAAGCTATGTGACATACTCAGGACTTGTCAGAGCCAGGTACTGCCTGCAGATTTACCTCTCACTTAATCAAGGTATCCATTCTGAAATGGCTCTCATAATCTGTAGAAATGATCAGCCTCATTACTGCCTATCAACTGCATCTCTGGCAATCTCTTCCTTCCATCTCTTTCTACCTCAGTTGCATAGGCAGACTGTATGCACTTAGAACAACTCTGGTTTTTCTTGTTTTATTAAAAGTCTGGCCAGTTCTCAGAGCTCCCTACTGATACTGTCTAGCACCTCTAGGTTCAGGGATTACATAAGGCTCATAGCCTAATTGTTTTTAAATAAATCAATTTATGGGCTTAGTGGTTAAGAGTGCAGATGGCTTAGTGGTTAAGAGTATTTGCTATGCAAAGATACAACATGAGTTCAAATCCCCAGCACCAATATGAAAAGTCAGGCATGGCTGTACATGCTGGTAACCCCAGATTTAAGGAATAGAGACACAGATTCTGAGAGCTTACTGACCAGCCACATTAGGCAAAACAGCAATCTTCTAGTTTACAGAGTATAGCAGTTTGAATAAGAATGTTCCCCATAATCTTGGCATTTGAATACCTTGTTCCCAGTTGGTGATGCTGTTTGGATAGGTTTATGAGATATAGCCTTGCTGAAAATATGTCACTAGGGGTGGGCTTTGAAGTTTCAAAGTCTCCTGTAATTCCCAGTACTCTCTCTTGGCTTCATGCTTATGTTTCAATATGTGAGTGCTCATCTTGCTGCTCCAGCTATCATGTCTGCCTACTGCCAAGCATCCCTGCAGTAATGGTGATGGACCTTTATCCCTCTGGAATCATAAGCCCAAATAATCCCTTTATTTTACGAGTTGCCTATGTCATGGTATTTTATCATAGCAATAGAAAAATAATTATTATGGTGAGAGACTATCTAAAAGAAATAAGGCAGAGAACAATGAAGATATCCAATGTCTTCCTTTAGCCTCTTTGTGTAAACATATGGGTGTGCACACCTGTACACTCACTTGCATAAACCACACAAGTACAGGCATACACATATATACATGCACACACATTTAAAAAAAACTCATAATTATGTATTTGTTTATGAATTTATGGATTTATTTATTTATGGAAACAGGGTCTCTCTATGTATCCCTGGCTGTCCTGGAATTCCTTATTTAGACCAGGCTAGCCTTGAACCTACAGAGATCTGTCTGCTTCTGTCTCCCAAGTCCTGGGATTAAAGGTGTGCCATCATGCCTCTCTCTCATTTCCAGATTTTAAATGTGACTAATCAGTAATCTACTCTTGGATAGGATGACATGGATTCCATCCTTACACTGATACACTGATACTGCTTGGGGATAACTGAGCCAATGGCTAGTCAGTAGATTTTTATAGTGATGAGAATCAAACTAGCCTCTGTTCAGAGATGTCGAACATGTAAAGGCTAATGTCTTTAATCATATGTGTAAGGCTATGTGAGGAGGCCATGTGAAATTATCACTAACTTTTTGAGGCCACAGAAGAAAAAAAAAGAAAGAGAGTTAAGTACTGATAAAAATGAAATTTCAGATAAGAAGCAAGTAGTAAGACTCCAGAATAGACTAAATGGATGAATGAGCATCTCGGAGATGATAGTATTAATAATAGTAGAGGAATGGGATCAGAGTGGGGTGTATAGCTCAATGATAGAACATATCTGTTGGGTTATATCTGTTCGATTTCCAGCACCACAAAGTAATTTAATTCAATTGTATTATAATCTCAAGAGCATGGCTGGGGCTTCTGGGTTGTCTCCATCTTTCTGGTTTTACTTTTTCTTCAGCAGGATGGTTTTTTTTTAAGAGTGGTCCTATGTAGAATATGCAATAATATTTTTTCTTAGTAGTTTACATTTAGACATTATTTCTTAGAAAGTCACTCAGTGGAAAAAAGAGCTCATTCCAAAGCATTAAAGAAGGTTGAAGAGCTGAGCAGTGGTGACACATGCCTTTAGTCGCAGCACTTGGGAGGCAAAGGCAGGTGGATTTCTGTGAGTTCAAGGCGAGCCTGGTCTACAGAGTGAGTTCCAGGACAGCCGGGTCTACACAGAGACCAAAAACTAAAAACCAAAAGCCAAAAACAAAAATAAATAAATAAATAGAAAAAGAAGGTTGATGATACTAGCAGTTTATTATGATTTTTGGCCACAGGTCTTTGACCAAAGATGCCCACATGAAGCCTTATTTGAGCTCTACACCAATACTAGATTGATTTGGTGGCCCCAGAATCATCTTGGAGAATATCTAATTTACTAATATTTGATAGACATATTTTGGAAGTGTGATGTTTATCAAGAGTGAACTATATCACAATAACTTGAAGACCTGACCTATGTGAAGAACCTCCAGAAGGCTTGACAATGATGAGGCAACAATTCCTTCAAGTCTCTTCTGAGACTCTTAGGGGCTACTGCCACCATCTGAGAAGACTTCTACCATTCCACTAGGAAGTCTAGGTAAACCAACATGTCTAGATGACAGCCAACATTTACTACCACCACATGCATGAGTTCACTTTGGAACATGCACACCAGAGGTGCCTGCATGATTGCAGCTAGATGAACAAGCCCAGGGAAGACTAGTGTAAAATCTAACTGGTCCCAGAGTCATGAGCAAAGATGTTATTACTTTAAAAATTATTATTATATTGTTGTGTATAGATGTTTTGCCTGCATGTATGTCTGTGCACCATGTGCATTCAGTACTCTCTAAAGGCAGAAGAAGGGGATGCACTAGGCTTGGAGTTACAGATGGTTGTGAGTTGCCATGTGGGTGCTGGGGACTACACCCAGGTCCTGTGCAAGAGCAGCTGGTGCTCTTAACCACTGAGCTATCACTACAGCTCCAATTATTGCTTTTTTAAACCCTTGCTTTCTGATTCTTTTGTTATACAGCAATAAGTAACTGGCACATCTTAAATCAAAGTACATAATATACAAAAACATAACCAACCAGCACTGACTGAACAAATAAATTAAGTACATTTAACAATACACAGGTAATATCAATGGCTTGACTTTCCTCTATTTTTTTGTTTTGTTTTTCAAGACAGAGTTTCTCAGTATAACAGCTCTGGCTGTCCTGGAACTCACTATAAAGACCAGGCTGGCCTTGAACTCACAGAGATCCACCTGCCTCTGCCTCCCGAGTGCTAGGATTAAAGGTATGCACCACCACAGTCTGGCCTCCTCTACTTTTTAATGCTAGTACTTACTTTGGAAATGTCTTTTCCCAAATGTGTCCCAGTGACCTGGCCTCTCTTTGACTCACCACCAACTGCTTGTTCCATTATGGCTCAAACTACAGTCTTGTTCGCAATCAACTCTTCTTCCTAAAGATATAATTAGAGAAAGACATTAATAGTATGTGAAGCAAAGCATCTTTAGCTGTTATGGGAAAGTGTTCATAAATAGCTGAGCCATAGCTATACCTATCAGCCAAAGTACCCTGTGCATATCCCTGTGCTAGAGGCTGCTCTCCCAGGGTATCGTGGGCCCTTTAATTTACAGAGCACTTGGATTAGAGGTAGGACAGGAAGCCAAATAAATAACCTCCTTCACTAGTCATACCAAAACTCTTTGGGTTGCAATTGGAGAATGGTGGCAACCAAGCACTTCACAATGGGAGACAGGAGTAACCAAATGTAATGATGCTACCAAAGAGAAAAGTGCAGCCCAGGCAAAGGCCTCCCCTCTTCTTTTACTTACAATATCAAGTTGCAAACACAAAGAATGTATTTACTGATGCAATATGTGTAAATGGCAAAATGTACCAGACATAAAAGAGTCTACCCATGAAAGAAGATACAGAGAATGCCACTGGGGAAAGAATTGTCAGGCAGCCAGCACTGACTGGGTCTTGTGATGGCTCCAATCCAATTTCCACAGCCTGACACTTTCAAACAATGGGTGCCATCATACATCCCCAGAGGATTTTATTTTATGAGTGTATCTATTTTGTGGGCATATCAAAGGCCTAAATTTCCTTGAAATGGATATTATAACCCACAATGTTTGATGGGTCATTTATAGAGAAGTTTTATAAACTCACAGTGGAAGTTATCAGTTGTAATTATTAATCTTGTCAAACTGACAAGATTTAGAACCATCTTCTAGGCATGTCTGTAAGGGCATTTCCAGAAAAGTTTAACTGAGGTGCAAAGACATACACTGAATGTGGTTGACACTATTCCATGGACTGGTATCCTGGACTCAATAAAATGAGAAAGCAATGGAGATGTGGCTCAGTGGTTAATAATACTTGCTGCTCTTGTGGAAGAACTGTGCTTGGTTCCCAGCACCCACATGGTGGCTTACAACTGTCCTTAACTCTAGTGCTTGGGGATCTGACACCCTATTCTGACCTCTGTGAGTACTAGGTATGTATGTGATACACATATATACAATGCAGGCACTACACTTATACACATAAAATAAAACTTAAAAATCTTAATTCTTTTTAAATTAAAATATATGAGAAAGTGAGTTGAGCACCAGCATTCATTTCTCTCTGCTTCCTGACTGCAGATGCAATGTGACCTGCTACCTTACATTCCTGATATCATGACTGCCGCACCATGACAGACTGTATTCTCATACCATACTAAAACCCTGCCTTCCATAGGTTGCTTTTCTCCAGGTATTTTCTCACAGCAACAAGAAAAATAACTAATACATCAGTTCAGTATATTTCAGAACTTGCCTTTTCCTGGGTCTCTGTGCATATATCTAATGAATATGGATAGTTAACCTGCAGCTCTGTGCCTACTCCATCCCTCTCTTTATTGCTCATTCCCCTGCACACTTGCAGGGACCTGACATCTACTCACCTCAAACATATGTGGCTGTAACTGGACTCATATGTTTCTATGCATATTAGGACAGAAGTTGCTGGAGAACAAGAATCAGGGCACCTTGTACCAGTCTTGTAAGTAGTCTGAGCTTGCATGTCTGCTGTTGAATCATAAGCATGCAAGACAGGGCCTAGCATAGGCAGGCACTCACCTGCCTGCTGGCCTCAGGACTCATGAATGCCTACTCCTCACTTTGCAAATAGATTTGTCAGATCCTCAGGGAAGCAAATGAGAAGGCAGATGGCATAAATGGAGGCAAGAGGATTCTCATGTCTAGCTTGCAGCCCTGCCAACATCATTATTAAACTCTAGCAGGAGTCTGTGTAGTGTATCTGGGCCATGATGGTCTTCTGCCTGCCTGCCTGCCTGCGGAATCCCATCATAGTTGCAGGGAGGGAATGCTTCCTACAGGTTTGGAGTCTTGTTGTTTTAAGTTATGCAGTATGTGGTCAGGTGTTACACAGACCTAGGAGATGAATGCAAACTTACTAACCAAGTTTATCCCTGGAGGATACTGTTCTTGGAAATGTCTGCTTACCTCCACTGCCAAAGCACATATCCCTCCACTCTTCAAAGATATAAACTAATGAATCCAGAGCCTGTGCCTGGGTTCAAATCCCAGTTCTATCTCTGACTAGGAAATTCTCTTAGGAGTCATTTAAAAGAATTGCACCTGCTTCTTCATTTATAAAACAAATAGCCTTATAAGATCATGGTGAGAAACAAAATTAAGTGGAAAACAGAGACAAAGCCTTTAGCATAGTGCCAAATACTCGTTAAAAACCCTGTTAAAAGCAGCTATTATCATCATAAATATTATTTCTCTAGCAGCAGTCTACTTTATCTCACTTCCTAATAGTCCTCTTCTGAACTCCACCACCACTTTATACCTCTCCAGCTTACCTGAGGCCATGCTGTGTATACTTAATACAGGCTGCTTAGCATGCACAAGGCCCTGGCTTTGATCCCCGGCACAGAAAGAAGGAAACAATGAGTAAGACAGAAACTCTCAGACAAACATGGGTAGAATAAACTTTCCTTTCCCACTTCATTCAAGGCAGAGCATAACAATTTATCCCAAAGTGCTTTACCTAGTTCTTAATTCTGTTCTAAAGTACAGAAAATTTCAACATTCCACTACTCAAAGCTTGGTACAAGAGGTAGGAAGAAATATGGGCTCAAATTGGGCTAGATAGGGGCGAAAGGTCTCAGGTGAGCCATTATTTCCCTGGGGCCATCCAACTGGACTCTGTCTTTTCACAGACCTGAGATGCCACATGTCTCTCACTTCTTCATGTCAGCTTGACTACTTACTTTTCGGACACAGAAGGTACCCAGCTTTGAATTTGCTACAGGCCACTCAGGGTCCCCTTACCATGCCTGAGCCTAGCTTCTACTGCTCCTTTCATATTTCCTTTCTTTGCCAAAGTGAATTCTCCCATATCCTTCAAGGCCTGTCTCAACTGGCCACTGTGAACCTTGCCTCTACTTCCTCAGCATCTGTTCTCAATGATCTCTTCCTGAGTTCAAGTGACATCTATTAAATTACCCCTGTTGCTGTTGTTTTGGAGGCTGGATCTGGAAAACAGTCATCTTTCCTGCTTACCTCAGACTGCTATGGGGCTCAAAGTAGCCCACAGGACTGAGTGTCATCTTGTTTACTCATTCACAAGTTACCAAAAACCAGCCACTGTCAGGCAGAAACCAACTAAAACACAGTTCAGGCCTTCAAAGAAACCATTAGCTTGTGTGGAAAACAGAAAACTTCAAAGATTGACAAAGCTGTGTTTGGGTCCTAAGGAAAGCAAGCCCAGAGAACCAATGTAGGCTGCTTGGTCACATGAAATAATCTGGTAGAGGAAGCTGGAGACTGATCACCTTTCAGCAGCCAAGAAGCAAGAGAGATAAGAACCACACAATCCACTTCAAAGGCACGGCCCTAATGACCTAATAGCCTCCCAGCATATCCCATTCTGTATAGGTTCCACTACCTTCCAATAACACCATGGGTGGGGACCAAGCCCCCAATACAGGAACTTTTGAGGAATATTTAAGAATCACTTTTTGCAAAGAGTACGGAGGGACATGAAGTCAAGAAGGTTAGTAGGGGTGAAACTTGGCAGGAGGCTTCAATGGGCTTTATTCTCTAAACTGAAGGTTATAAGCAGGGGACTGACCTGACCAGAGCTGTTCACTGCAAGACTGACTTGGTGGAGCAGGTGTGTATGTTGGTAGAGGGTATATAGGTAAATAATAGGAAATTAAGAAACTACTTACCAACTTGCTGATAGACTAAGGTTCACTGAATACCTAACATGTATTCCTCCCTGCTCCAGGTACTGGAGTGCCAGCAGTGAACAAAAGATGCTTGCCCCCATGTGTGCCCGCCTTCTAGTGGAGGCAACAAAGAACAAAAACGTTAAATTTACAGTGACTTAGGAAGTGCAGGTGCTACTATAAAAATAGAGCAAGATGAGGGGCTTGTGTGCAAAATGAATAGGGTACTTAGAGTAATCTTTCTGAGAAGGTGACAATGGCTGAAGAACTGGAGGGGAAAGATGTAGGTCTAGTCTACAAAAGGGCCAGGTGAAGTGAAAGTTCAGTGAAAGGTGGGAGGTATGTAGTTCTGGAAGGAGTTAATGGGAGGAGTGGACAGTGAATATGATCAAATACATTGCCAATGCTGGACGCAGTGGTGCACACCTTTAATCCCAGCACTCAGGAGGCAGAGGCAGGAGGATCTCTGTGAATTAGAGGCCAGCCTGGTCTACAGAGTGAGTTTCAGGACAGCCAGGGCTACATAGTGAGATCCTCTCTCAAAACAATGATGACAAAAAAACTGTATGAATATGTGAAAAAATTCTCAAAGAATTAATATTATATTTTTTTAAAAAGTTCATGGGGCTGGGTAAGGCCAATGCAGAATAATGTATCAGTCACAAAACCAGTGTCCTGGGTGGGAGGGAGCCAGGGGTAAGGAGGTGGGTACCAGTGTGGGTATGAGGGGAGAAGTTGTTGCATGCCAGGCATTACAGGCTTCTGTGAGAACTCCAGCTCATACTGCTGAGGAAGGGCTGGGGAGGAGCAGAGAGAAAAGAAAGGACACTTCAAGGACAGAACTGAGAGAACCCAGGGGATGGATATGGGGGATTGCTGCTGGAGGGAACAGAGGAGTCAAATGGGTCACAAAAGTTTTGAATCTGGTTCATGGCTCCAAGGAAAGAGGGCAAGGGGCCTACATTACATTTATGGGTTGCTGTTAAGTCTCTGGCCTTTCTCAGTTTGAGAGACTGATGCCATGTCCTTAATGTTCCCAAACTAATATCCTATGCCTTGAAGGGAAGCAGGAAGCACTGCTGTAGCTGACCTCGGACCACCATTACTCCTGGCATAGTTCCAGGTAACTCCACCCCCTTGCTCACATTCCTCTCACTTCTCTAAGCACCCCAACATTTCCAAAATTCCTGTGGCTTTGCTTTCAAGGGAGTCTCATTCAGGAATGCTCCTTCCCAAGAGACTTGAGTGTCTGCACGTCTAACGGGGCACATTTTGATGACTTTTCTAAACCCAGAAAGTCCCCAGCTTATCAACCTGAGAGCTAAAGTGATTCTTGTAGAGCTAAGTTCAAAAAGCTTCGCTCGGATTCTGTTTCTAAGCTCCAGCCCTGTGAACCGCTGACACAACGCTCGGCATGCCCCATTCACAGTCACCCCTCCATACAGTTAGGCCAAATCTTTCCTGGCCCCCAGATGCTCTGTATCCCCAACTCGGGTTTTAGAACATCCCACCCATGCCCTCGCACTTCCTCCCGGCTCTGTCGCCCACAAGCAGCGGCCTCCAAGGGCAAGGCCGCAGCTCTTACCCGTTTTAGACAATCTTGCGGTCGACTTCAGCTTGCTAGCAACCTGCAACCCACGAAATTCAACCCGAGACTGTCACCCTTTTCTATGGAGAGCTATGAGCCCATGATCAGCCGAGCTTCCTTCATCATGTTGATTGGTCTAGCTCTGCTCGGCGCAGCCAATTGACGCTCGCAGCGCGATTTTGCCCAATGAAGCCAGTCCTTACAGCCGCCGCACTGCCCTCTTACCCTGGGGCGGGTCTAGCTAGATTAGCCCCACCTGCTTCTTCTGCAAACCTATGGGAAGCGGGTCGCGCGCGCGCGGAGCAGTGGGAAAGGCGCCCAGGCTGCCAGTACTTCGTTGCCTTAACTACTGGTCGCAGAGGAGTCCATTTGGCGATGGTGAGTGCTGGGAGTTCCATGGACCTTACGCGGCGCCCCCGAGCCCTTCCTAGGCCTCATTGAGGCCCTACAGCCTTTCCTGCATGGTTCTTCGCGGTGACTCATTAGTTCTTCCTTAGAACTCTATGCTGGAAGGGTAGGAAAGTGTAGCCGCCCGCAGTTAGCCTGCCTGCGCTTAACCACTGCTCCCTCCCCGCCCCCAGTCACTTTCAGTCACCCCTAACCTGCCTCTCGACCTCTGCTGGTTTTCCTGGAACCGCAGGTGATCAGTCTGTTGCAAGGAACACTTAGGCTTCCCATAGACCCTGGCCTCAGTCAGACTCAGGCCTCCTGGCCGCTGCCACCTGGCTAAAGTTTATGCATGGTACTAAGAAGTTTACTGTGTTCTGATGGCTTTCAGCAGATGCTTTGAGCTTCCCAGACAAGGCACGCAAATGCCACATGGATTGGTTCTTATTTTGTACCGGCAAAGTTTTCTTAGTAACTTTACATTTGGCCAAATTTAGGCAAAATTAATCGGAGGAACAGAGTTCATGAGAGCTAGCACCTTAAGTAGATGTTTTAAGTACATTTCTAGAACTCAAATCCTTGGATACAGGGACAGTTGATATTTGTTAAGTATCCATAATTGGATTTTCAGCTAGCTCTCTTTCAGGATGAAGAATAAGGGATTTCCTGGCTTCTAAAATCAATAGTTAAAAAAAAGAGTCAGAGGTTCATGGAAAGATTAATTATTCTTTCCAGCAAACTTTGTTATCTCTCAATTTATTAGACAGATCTTTAGAATCGATTGGTATAAACTGTTTTTCCGTTAATTACTAGCTATCTGAGTTTACAGTTGTATTAGAACTGGGAGGGATCATTTTCATCTTTGGTAATGAAAACTGAAGCCACACTATGTCTTTTTTTTTTTTTTTTTTTTTTTTTTTTTGGTTTTTCGAGACAGGGTTTCTCTGTGTAGCTTTGCGCCTTTCCTGGAACTCACTTGGTAGCCCAGGCTGGCCTCGAACTCACAGAGATCCGCCTGGCTCTGCCTCCCGAGTGCTGGGATTAAAGGCGTGCGCCACCACCGCCCGGCCACACTATGTCTTTTTAATTGAATATACAATATGGAAATTTGTGACAATCTATTCATAATAAAATGATAAGCTTGTTCCTTATAAACAGATATGGTCTCACTTTTGCTGTTTAGTAGCTTTGGAAAAGGAGAAAATTCAAGCATGTTGAATCTTTAGGTAAAAAATGATAGTCTCATTCAAAGAGGGTTTTTTTTTTCTTTTTTCCTTTTCGAGACAAGGTTTCTCTGTGTAGTTTTGGCGCCTGTCCTGGATCTTGCTTTGTAGATCAGGCTGGCCTCGAACTCACAGAGATCGGCCTGGCTCTGCCTCCTGAGTGTGCGCCACCACTGCCCAGCTTATCATCCAAAGAGTTTTTAATGTTGCTTCTTTATTTTTAAAAATTTGATTTAAGAAATTTTGATTTAAAAAATTTACTTTCCTAAAGTGACATGTTGATTAAAGGTACAAGTACATAAACTTTCTGTAGCATAAACTTTAAAACAGTGGAAGTCCAATTATATCCTCTGATGAAAAACTGGTCATGTTAACAGCAGAAATTCATATATGTATATTCACTTGCTCTATGTTGATCTGTGCAGGAACAAGGAGGAAAATGGTAATAAATTATTTTAAAACAAAAAGTCTCTTCAAGCTGGTGCTCCCCCAATGAAATATAGTTGGTTTTAATCATGTGAAATATCCCATTATTAATAGAAATGATGTTTCAATTTATAGTTATTGTAGAAGACAACCATATTTAATTAGTGTATTGCTGATTTTCTATTTTTTACAATGTGGTGGTAAAAACTAAAATATATTTATTTAAACAGTTTTAAATTGAAAGATTTTTCTTCAAAGAGGATTTTTTTTTAGAGTTGGGGTTAATTTTACTTCAGTTTTTACACTTGTTATTTGTGTGGGGGAGAAGGAGAGCATGACTTAGGCTGAGCATGGAGGTCAGAGAACAACTTGGAAGAGTTGTTTCTCTTTTTCTACCATGTAGGTCCTGGGTTCCCACTCAGGTTGTCAAGCTTGACAACAAGACATCTCACCAGCTTACAGAAGTTTATGTAATGTCATATGTACATTACTCAGAATGGAGCATAAGTGAAATAGATATGGATATCCACAACTGTCTTAAATAAAATATGGACTATGGCTTATAATACTGTGTTTCTGTGTTTGTATAATGTCTGAAGGCCTCTAATTTTAAGAAGACAAACATGACATCGAGTAGCCAGAGAAAAAGAATGAGCCCTAAGCCTGAACTGACTGAAGAACAGAAACAGGAGATCCGGGAAGCTTTTGATCTTTTTGATGCTGATGGAACTGGAACTATAGACATCAAGGAACTAAAGGCAAGCTCTCTACATTCCTGCTTTGCCACCTTGTGTTTCCCTGTTCCTTGTCTTTTACCTGTCACCTTTCTCCTTTCTCCCTGTAAAAAGTAACAGAAAAAGGTACCCTGTGTATATTTTACCTGAAACAATGATCTAATTGATAAAGTTGATTACAATTATAAATTAAGTCAGCATTACAGTGCTACCTAATCATTTTTCATCATTTTATAAGGTGTTAGGTTAATATCCTCAACAGTCATTTTTGCTTCTACATCATTTACATGTGTTTATTTAGATGATCCTGTTTTCATTGTAGGTTGCAATGAGGGCACTGGGCTTTGAACCCAAGAAAGAAGAAATCAAGAAGATGATAAGTGAAATTGATAAGGAAGGGACAGGAAAAATGAACTTTAGTGACTTTTTGACAGTGATGACTCAGAAAATGGTAAGTTAGTTGAGATAATGAGCATACTTTCCATCTATAATGGTAGATACATGGGAATCTAGACATAAAAAGAGCTTCAATAAAATCTTTACCATTCATATGGTTGAGGATTATATTTTTAATTGAGAGGATTCCTAGGTTTCATTTGGCTTTCTTTAAGGTCATAGCATTACATAAATTATTTTATCTTGTCTCATATAGCCACATGATAATCACAAGCAGTGAAAACCTGTTAACACAGATTTTTCAAATGCTTCTCATTTTAATTTTTTATTTTAATAGTATTAAAAATTAAATTAGCATACAATAAATCAGGTATCGTGGCATTTTCAGATAAATGCTTCTCATTTTGACAATTCAGTATGTACAATTGGAGGCACAAGAACTTTGAGCTTTAGAAATGATAAGGTGTTTTGGTACTTCTAAAGTCACATTCATCCATCCGTAGTTTCTCAGATCCTTTTAGCAGGTCCAAAGGTTTGAGAGAACATGAACATGTCACCCGAACCAGACCATCTTTACTCTTTCATTGGTCTTCTGGCTTGTTGGTATGGCTCACCTTCTCTCAGTATACCTGGAGAAAGGTAACCCCTTTCAGGTTCCTCAAAGTGTTTCCCGGGGCACAGGCCATACCTCTTTAACAGTTGAATTGCTTTGAAATCACCATACCTACATTGTGTGTGTGTGTGTGTGTGTGCCTTCATGCATGTGCGTGTGTGTACCGATTTAAGAAATCAGGAAGCTTGGTATTCTGCAACCACCTCGCAAATCTAATTCACATTTAACACTGGCTCCTAGATTGTTCTTCCTAACGTTTATCTCCAGTTATAGCTCCTGGCAAGAACCTTCCTGAAATATTTAAGGTTTGAATGCTTTTGGAAATTTTACTCTCTTTTTTGTTGGAGTACTCAGTGCCCCAGTAATTCTTTGACGTCCAGTGTGCAAAATGCCTCTTTCTTCCTCTGCCCTTATCAGTATATCTCTGTCTTCTATTAGCATAAACAGTGTATTTTCTCTAATTATAACCCTACTCACTGCTTCTATATTTCAAAAATGAATCTAGAATCTCCTTGGTTTGTACAGTGTTTTAGATTTCCTTTGTAAAATTACATTTCCTTTGTAACACCTGAGTTTATGTTAAGTTTACTGACTTTGTCTTCTTTTTCTACAATGGGTCATACTTGTTTTTCTGTGACTGAGGGCATATATCACAACGGCTATCACCAGGACCATGTGGGATGGGGCCAGGGATTTAATCTAAGAAGATAGTTTCCACTCTTGGCTTTAGCAGTGGGGAAAGTTCTGAACAGGACAAAGCACAAGAGGGGCAATCAGTATATATACCTAGTAATACCCAATGTTGGGTGTCGGAAAGATGAGCCCCAGCTCACTTCAGAAGCTGTTGTCTTCTACCTGCTAAAACTGTCCAACAGCACCAGGAGTCTATCCTCTCTGCATGATTCATTGGCCCCTTAAACCAGTGCTTATGCCCATTTATCAGGATTTCTTGGCTTTTCCACCAAGCTGCGCCTTTTCCTACTGAATTCTGAGCTGATTATGAAATAGATGATGAGATAGGAAGTAGGTAGGGAGTACATTCCACCGTGGACTAGAGAACCTGGCTTGCCTGACTTCCTAAAATGGCTCAGTCAGGTTATTGGAGACAAAAGGATGACCAAGAAGTGGCAGGGCTGCAGGATATGAGTAACTATCTGTTTTATATTCTACTAAAGTCCGAGAAAGACACCAAAGAAGAAATCCTGAAAGCTTTCAAGCTCTTTGATGATGATGAAACTGGGAAAATATCATTCAAAAATCTGAAGCGTGTGGCCAAGGAGCTAGGCGAGAACTTGACTGATGAGGAGCTGCAGGTGAGTAATGCCTTAGTCAGAAACTCAAAC